CACACACACACGCACCCACACACACACGCACCCACACACGCGCCCACACGCACCCACACGCACCCGCGCACACCCACACACACCCACACACACCCACACACACCCACGCACACCCACACACACACCAACGCACACACCAACACACACACACACCAACACAGACACCAACACACGCACACACACCAAGACGCACACGCATCAACACACACCAATACACACACCAACACACACACACCAGCACACACACACCAACACGCACACACGAAAACACGCACGCACCAACACACACACACACCAACACACACACACCAACACACACACACACCAACACGCACACACGCCAACGCACGCACACCAACACGCACACGCACCAACACACACAAACCAACGCGCACACACCAACACACACGCACCAACACACACACCAACACACACAACACACAAAACACGCACCCCAACGCACACCAACACACACACACCAACATACACACAGGACCACCGCACACAAAACACAACACACACACACACCGTCACACACACCAACACACACGCACCAACGCACACAACCTTCACACACCAAACACGCTCACACCAACCCACACACAACACGCACCCACCAACACACACCAAACACACACCACACCAACACACACAACACACCAACACACACGCACACCAGCACACACCAACACACATGCACTAACACACACACACCAACACACACACCAACACACACTAACACACCAAAACACGCACCAACACACACCAACACACATACACCAACACACACACCAACACGCACCAACACACACCAACACACACATAGCAACACACACACCAGCACACATGCACACCAACACACGCACCAACACACACCAACACACACACCAACACACACACTTACACACACCAACCCACACGCACCAACGCACACGCCAACCCACACAACGCACCACCAACACACCACGCACACACACCAACACACGCACCACACACCAACGCACGCACGCACCAACACACACGCCAACACACACGCCACGCACACCCACACACCACCAACACACACAACCACACACCAACACACACCAACCACGCACAACACACACACCAACGCACACACGCCACCACACACACACCAACACACACACACCAATGCACACACTAACACACACCAACACACACGCATCAACACACACCAACACACACACACGCCAACACACGCACCAACGCACGCACCAGCACACACACCAATTCACACACACTAACACACACAAGCGCACACACACCAACGCACACACCAACGCACACGCACCAACACACGCCAACGCGCACCAACACGCGCCAACACACACCAACGCACGCACGCACCAACGCACACACCAACACACACCAACACACACACCAACACACACACATCAACACACACACACACACCAACACACACACACCAACACACACACACCAACACACACACCAACGCACGCACGCGCCAACACACACACCAACACACACCAACACACGCACCAACACACACACCCACACACACGCACCAACACACGCGCCAACACACACGCCAGCACACACACGCCAACACACACACCAACACACACAAACACACGCACCAACACACACGCACCAACACACACACCAACACACACACCAACGCACACACACCAACACACACACCAACACGCACGCACCAACGCACTCACCAACACACAAACGCACGCGCCAACACACGCCAACGCACACACCAACACACACGCCAACACACACTCACCAACACGCACACACACACACACCAACACACACACCAACACACACACGCAAACACCAACACACACACCAACACACACACAAACACCAAAACACACGCGCACCAGCACACACACACCAACACACACATCAACGCACACACACCAACGCACGCCTACCAACACGCACACGCACACCAACACACGCACCAACAGACACACCAACACACGCACCAACACGCGCCAACACGCACACCAACGCACGCCAACGCACACCAACACACACACCAACACACACAC